AAGCTTTAGTGTTTAGTACTAAGTGCTTAGTACTAAGTACTGGTTTATTAGTACCCCTTGTTGTTCAGCAAACCATGTCCCTTCCTGACTCCATCACCTGTGGAGGTGGGCTCGTTCCCCCACTTGGCAGGTGCTGGGCCGGGCTGCTTGGAGGCTGGGAGGCGTTGAGGGCGAGAGGCAGGGCTGCGACTGTGGACGTCAGCCTACTGCCCTTTCTCACCGGCGTCCCTGGCGGAGGCTTCACGAGGACACGCAGCTACGCGGCGTTGGGCCGTGTGGACAGCAGGTTGGCAGGCTGCAGCGTGGGAGGGCAGTGCTCCGAGCCACTTCGCTTGCCCCGCGCTGAGCCTGGAAACCCACAGAGCCTGGGTCTCTAACCCGTTCATCTTGCTCGGCCCACAGTCCGGCAGCAAGTCCTGTGTTTGTTTTGTTTTGTTTTTGAGGCAGAGTCTCCACTCTGTTGCTCACACTACAGTGCCGTGGCATCAGCCTCGCTCACAGCAACCTCAGACTCCTGGGCTCAAGCGATTCCTCCTGGCTCAGCTCCCGAGTAGAGCTGGGACTACAGGCATGCACCACCACGCCCGGCTCATTTTTCTATATATATTAGTTTGCCAATTAATTTCTTTTATTTATTAGTAGAGACGGGGTCTCGCTCTTGCTCAGGCTGGTTTCAAACTCCTGACCGCAAGCAATCTGCCCGCCTCGGCCTCCCAGGTGCTGGGATGACAGGCGCGGGCCCCGCGCCGCCAGCAAGTACTGTTAAACACCGGCACATGCAGTCTCGCAGTCTCACAAGGAAACCGAGGCTCAGAGAGGTTGAGTGGCGGCCAAGGTCACACAGCTGAGCGGCAACTAAGGTTCGCATCTTCCCGGGCACACGGGTGCTCTGCCGGCGTAGCTCGTGCTGGCCCGGGTGGGGGATCTCGCGGGCGGCGGGGACCGCGGGCTGCTGCGGGCGGTAGACCTCGGGCGGCGGGGCCACAGGCGGAGCCCGGAGCCCGCGCTCGCTCACGCCCGCGCCCCGCCGCCCTGTCGCCCGCAGCGCTGGCCGCGCGCAGAGCCCGAGGACGGAGGCACGGACGACGACCTCAACAGCGTGCTGGACTTCATCCTGTCCATGGGGCTGGACGGCCTGGGCGCCGAAGCCGCCCCCGAGCCGCCGCCGCCGCCCCCGCCGCCCGCGTTCTACTACCCCGAGCCCGGCGCGCCGCCGCCCTACGGCGCCCCCGCGGGTGGCCTGGTGTCCGAGCTGCTGCGGCCCGAGCTGGACGTGCCCCCGGGGCCGGCGCTGCACGGCCGCTTTCTGCTCGCACCGCCCGGCCGTCTGGTCAAGGCCGAGCCCCCCGAGGCGGACGGCGGCGCAGGCTACGGCTGCGCGCACGGCCTTCCACGGAGCAGGCAAGACGGAGCCCTTTCCCACGGCGGCAGCTCCGGGCACGGCACGGGCTAGGCCGGGTGGGCGCAAGATAAAACTCTCCCTTGCAGGGGCACCTGCCCGCATCTCTCGCGTCCGGGAGAGACATCAAGAGGCGCCCAGCATGTCTGCCACCACCCATGAGGGGCACCCAGGTCTCGCCACGTGGCGCAGAGCGGGGCTTGGCGCAAACCTCGTCGGGAGACGGCCGTGGGCCGCGCGGGGAGGCACTGCCCCAGGAGCGCGCAAAGCCGCCCTGGAATGGCAGCCGTGTTTTTTTGGGCCGGGTGTCCTCGCAGGGTGCCCCGGGTTGCCTCCTGGGAAGCCGGGCCAAGGCGCTGGCCAAGGCCGTTTGGGGCCCAAACGGCTGCTGCGGAAAGGCGCCCTCCGACGCTAGAAGAAAGGTGAAAAGAATGGAAAGGGACACTGGAGGATGGCCGGGCCCGGTTAGCAGGAGACTTGTACCTCTGCAGGGGAGGACGGGGCCGCTGCACTTCTTCTCCTCCCTGCTTCTCCGCCGGCACGAACGCCCAACGCTTATCTGCGGGCCGAACTAAAACTCTTCCTGAGCCGCTTGAAAACATTTTTGGCTGGCAGGCGACGGTGCGTTTCAGAGGTTTTGGGACCATGAGTGGCACGCCGCCGCTGCCCGCCGCCCGGGCCGGCTGGCCGGGGCGAGACACCGGCCTGGGCGCGGCTCAGACACGGGCGCCGATCGCCGGCTTGCCTCCCCCTGCGCGGAGCGGGAGCGCGGCCCTCAGAACCCGCGCGGCTCCCAGCCGGCCGCCAGCGGGGTCGGGAGGAAACGTTTCTGGGGCCCCTCGGTCCACACTGGCTATGCTGGGGCCCAGGGGAGGAAGGGGCCCCGTGGGCAGGGGCGAGGACAAGGCGAACCACCGCCCCGGGCCGCATGACGTCGCCCCAACTGGGGACATGAGACGTCAGGGGGCCCCGGGCTGGTTTTCTGCCCTTGGGGAGGGAACTTCCCGGTGACGCTGGGGGAGAAGGGAACATTTTGCGCTAAGTCAATTTAGTGTTTTGCGTGCTCAGATACTAAGGTTACTGATTTACTTAGGCAAAGCTATAGTGTTTTGAGACTAAGCCTATCTTAGGCTGCCTTTAGTATAAGTGCCTGATTTTACTTAGCAAGCTTAGCTGTTTTTAGTGCTACGTACTTAGTGGCTCAGTTATAAGTTGCTGATTTTACTTGCAAAAGGCTTAGGTGGTTTAAGTCTAAGCTTAATT